CAATGAGCCGAAAGAAGCTAGCGATAAAGGATGAACTTAATAATATAAAATTTACTTTTCAAAGATCTTCAATTAATTCTCTTATCAACTTTATACAATTTTGTGTCGAATGTGTTAGGTTAATGTGATGTTTAACAGAAACTCTTATGTTCTGTGTTTCTAACTGTTAATCACACTGGAAATAAATCTGTAACAAAAATACAACGTCTTACTAAGGATTAGTGTGCGATACGACATGAAATTGTGGGTGCTTCTAACTGTGTGATTAATACATGATGTTGAATACCTTCAAGAGACAAAGCCAATTACAGAACAATTTAATTCTGACGTCATCTTCTACTAAAAACATACTTGGTATATTTTATCCAATTAAGTGTGTGTCGTCTATAGTATCATGTGAAAGCGTTTCAGTTTACTTCACCGAAAATCGATATTGAACATTATCTAAACCAGAAATGTTTAAGTTAACGGGCGATTCAAAGGTTACTGTTTATCACTAATCAACAAAGAATCGCCAAAAGCTGAACTTAGGTGTGTAATCTCTTACGGTAAACAACAACACGCCCACTATGTTGTGGTTCAAAGGTTACTGCTTATCACTAATTAACAAAGGATCGTCAAGAGCGAAACTTAGGCGTGTAATCTCTTACGGTAAACAGCAACACGCCCACTATGTTGTGGTTCAAAGGTTACTGCTTATCACTAATTAACAAAGGATCGTCAAGAGCTAAACTTAGGGGCGTAATCTCTTACAGTAAACAGCAACACGCCCAGTATGTTCTACACACTGGGCGTGTAATCTCTTACAGTAAACAGAAACACGCCCACTATGTTGTGGTTCAAAGGTTACTGCTTATCACTAATTAACAAAGGATCGTCAAGAGCGAAACTTAGGCGTGTAATCTCTTACGGTAAACAGAAACACGCCCACTATGTTCTACACACTGGGCGTGTAATCTCTTACGGTAAACAGAAACACGCCCACTATGTTCTACACACTGGGCGTGTAATCTCTTACAGTAAACAGAAACACGCCCAGTGTGTAGAACATAGTACTGACTCACACATGAATATTGGAGTTTTGGAATAAGTTCAACTCAATGAAAAAAAACAAAAAAAAACGGTAGAACATTTTGTTTAGTAAAATATGTTCTTACATTAGAAGTACAAACATAATTTTCATGTTTTATGTGTTTATTTTTTAATGATTAATCCAAATACTCTGAATTGGTTGAATGACTTTACAACTGCTTTAATTTTCTCGTTTTTCTTTATCATACTTAAAGGGAAATTCGAAGCACTAATATTGCAAGTAATCGCTTCGAGTTGTGTGTATTTCGGCAGTTTGCTTGTCCGTAATTATTAGTTTATTCCACTGATTAAGTACATTCTTTTTTCATCTTACATCTTGCAATTTTTACCGACTTTCGCAAACAGCAAAGGTTTACTTACTATTTAACTTAACTGAGTACAGCTTCGTGAAGGGACAGGATAACTTACATGAAATTTAAAAAATAAGAGCCCTTAGTAAAATAAAGTTATCAGTACGTTGCGTAAAGATTCGTATAAATTAAACAACAGTAATGAAGCAGGAGAAGCTACTGTTAAAAAAAAAAGGGGGGATATTAATATCAAACTTTCCGCTTAGATGATATATAATTCTCCATTCGAATTATTTCACAAAGTGTCATACAACAATTATTCCCTGTTTGTTTGTCTGTGGTCTGCCCACCCGGGTACCGAAACCCGGTTTCTAGCGTTGTAAGCCGCAGACATACCGCTGTACCACTGGTGGGCAAACCAATATGAGGCTTTATTGAAACTTTAATTCCCCGGTAGGCTAGTGGTAAGCTTCCGGACTTTACGTGATAAAATCCGGGTTTCGAAACCCCACGATGGTTAGAGCACAGATAGCCCATTGTGTAGCTTTGCGCTAAAAAAATAACATTAAACTTTTAACACTGAAACAAAAAATATAACAAAATGTGTCTCGCTTAAAAAAAAAACTCACATCATAGCAGAACTAGAGGGAATTATATAAGTATTTGAAAATTTGATAAGAATATAAGTACTGTATATAATTGTAGATATATTAACTACGGATTTGTTCAGTGATTGTTTGTATTATCTACGTTCTACCCACCCAGGAATCAAATTTTAGCGTAAAAAAGCCCTCAAACTTACCACTATGCCATATCGTAAGGTTAAACCCACAGCAATACAGATTAGAGACAGCGGTAAGTCTGAGGACTTATACGACATTAAAATCCGGGGTTCGAAACCCCTCCGCGGTAGACGCAGTACATAGCCCAACGTGACTTGTAGGTTATCGAAGCTGTAATAGCGAAATAGTGAGCAAATAATGTTACATTCTGGAGATATAGGTCCTGATTTTATTTACCTTTTATTGATAGATTGTTTGTTTGTAATTAAGCATAAAGCTACACAATGGGTTTGTTTGTTTGTTTTGAATTTCGCGCAAAGCTAC